AATAAGCTCGTGTTCGGCTCATTAATTTCGTTCGATAAGTTAGCGAGCCGAACACGAACTAAGATGTGTTCGTTCGTGTTTGGCTCGTTTTGGCTCGAAGTACTACTTATCAAGTTTATATATATATATTAAGTAGTATTTTAAAAAAATCTAATTGACTACAAAGCTACAAAGATTTATAATCAATTAAAATATTGATAAAGAAAATAGAATAAAAATCATTAAATTAGATTCAAATGATGTTTTAATATAAATAATAATTTTTAAAACTTGTTCAAACTCTTATTGTCTTATGTCTTATGACTAAATGATTAGGATTGTTAAAAGGACTCTTTGTTCGTGAACAACTCGTGTTCGGCTCGTTAAGCAAACAAGCCGAACACGAACACACTTATTGAGCTCGAAATATAAACGAGCCGAACATGAGCTGAGCTTGGCTTGCTCGTGTTCGGCTCGTTTACACCCCTTATTAGGATACATAATAATTATTGAAATCCCATTTCAATGTGAAACTCATCTGTCATCTCCCAAATTAGTGGCTTTATTGATCAATGACAAGCTGTTACCAAACTTCTCCCATGCACCTTCTCCTTCCCTCCCATGTGACTGCCAACCCATCTCTCTCTCTCTCTGTGTTCATAATAAAATAAGAATAATAAAAATTTCGAACCATGCATTCTATTCCAGCTAAAAACTTTAGATCAATCAATCCCACCAAGTTCATCACATCACTCAAATCTACCAAGCGTGCAGAAATAGGCAGAAATCAGAATAAATGCTGCATCCATTTTCCACCATCAGAGATCTCAGAGAGGAAGATGAAGAAGAACATAACACCTTCTTCGCCGGCTTAAATATGAACAATGCTTGTCTTAACCCACCAATCATAAACATCCTAATACATCTCCACCTTCACCTTCCCCAATAAAAACCTCTCATTTCCTCTAAACTTCCACTGCAAATTTCTCACCCGCACCATTTCCATCCCATCAATCTTAATCACCAAATTCATGACATGAGAGCTATCATCACACTCTATAAAAACCTCATGAAAACTCCCCTGTTCATCAAACTTTAGTCTTGTCACAAAACTCTTCTTCCCAAAAACATGTTTTTTCTTGGAAAACAGAAAAGCTTCAATCACAGCCGGCTGCGACCGCCCTGTTTTCCGACAAGCTTCCATCTTAGGATCGCCGAGCAGAAGAACAACTTCATTATCGGAGACAACTGCTACGTAGTAATCAGACAAAGGTTCCGGCGAGGAGTTCTGATCTTCATTGCTGAATTTAGCGTTTCAGAGATCCCAAATAACGTCGAGTGGCTTATTTCCTTCAATGGTGAAAAGCTTGGTGCCATGGCGGCACCAGAAAAGCCATGGTTTCAGCTCTACCTTGCAACTGCTGTTGTGGTTGTCGCCATTAATGGAGATGAATAAGAGCCATGTGATGGTGATGAGGATGAAGTGGCAGGCGGTGGCGGTGGCGGTGAGGCATGAGAGGACGACTAAGTTTTGGTGTGCGAGGTTGGCGGCGGGGAAGTGGTCGGGGGAGGAGAAGAGGGTGTTGGTGGAGCTTGAGGAGGAGAAGCATGGGGGAACAGGGAAGAGGTCCTGCTTTTCTTATCTTTGGCTTGGAGGAGAGGAGGAGAGTCTTTTATGTTGTACTTACAAATTGAGTGTGATATATTTATTTATTTTGGAGAGAGAGAGAGGAAGAGGTGTGATTTATGATTGGAGGAATGATGAAAGGATGTTTATTTAATGCATGGTGCTCTCCTTTTTAAGCTTCTATGTGTGAAATCTCTTGAGATTTGAGTATGCCACTCTTCACAAGTTTATATAGGTAACCACACATAATAATTTTTCCTTTTTTAGAGTTTAATATTTTGTCCACACACTTAAGATTTGATATATATAATATATATCTATATATGTATGTATGTATGCATGCATGCATGCATGTATGTATGTATGTATGCATACATGTATGCATGTATATATGTACATACGCGCGCGCGCGTGTGTACAATTTATTATAGAGTTTTGATCATATGTAAAAACTCCAATTTGAGCCGCAAGACTTATATAGCTATTTTGTAAGATCTTATCAAGAGCTTATTCATTAAATAAGATTAAGTCATTTAGAGAGCCTTCTTATAGAAAAATATATTATCTTTTTCACTAATGATTTGGTATCTTGTTATGTCCCATGCGTACTTTTATAAATTTTTATTGTACAACATACATCTTTATCCACCAAAACTAATCTTTTTTAGTCATCAAATTTCGTCTCCAACTTTACAACCATTATATTTTTCATACTCTTCTTTTGATACCAATCGTCCAGCTAGACATTGCCATAAAATTAAATCTATCATAAAATAACTATAAAAGAGATATTAAGAGTCATTAAAGTGAATGACAAAATTTATGTGATTTGGCTTAATGAACCATGCCCATGACTGCACATATTTTTAAGCTTCAAAAAAATATATATTAAGATTTGAGCTTCATATAAAAGTAGAAATGTGAATGAAATATCACTTTATATTGTTGAGAGAAAATGTAGTCATCTAATGCAAAGATAAGAGTTAAACTTTTTCCTTGAAAAAGTCAAAGAACTCCACTTTCAAGCACTCAAAAGGCTACTTCATTTCATTCGTGGAGAAGATTCATCTTCTTACTTTGTTGCTTTTTTATTGTGGGATATTTTATAAGTGAGAATTATATGAGTTTCTATACAAGAGTGTTCACCATCTAATATTAATTGCAACCACCATTAAAGACTTTATTGCTTACATGTGTGGTTGTTATAGGTCATCCATTTATGACCTTATAAAGGCCCCCATTTAAGAATTTTTATTGTACATTTTAATGAGGAATCTATGGTAACCACCAATTTTAATGGTAGCGATGAATTTATGATAATTTATGAAATTAGATATTACAGTTAATATTCTTTCATTTGGAGTTTACATTTCTTATGTACTAGCTAAATGATTATATTTGAATAGCATGCACCTTCTTATCATTATTCATAAAATTTAATTTGGACTTGTAATACATATCTTAGATTATCAGCGACAAACTTAAATTTTTTTACTAATTTTTTCCTTATTTTAGAGTTTAAATCTATCTTTTAGAATCTCTTATTTGACAAAATCATTATTTTATGTTATTTTTCCAAATCACTAGTGAAAACTTTCACAATGGCTTTTTTTTTTGTATTTAGTGCCGTATTCTTAATATTACTCTTGATTTTATGAGACACCGCTTGTCTATTAATGCATCAACAAATGACATTAAATTATATAACATATAGAGTCTGTTTAGTTTATTTTTTATAAAGTTAATCAACAAACCCTCATAAATCTTAAAGGGCAAAACATCAATGATAAATTTATACCCGTCAACACAAAGAATACTTGATTTTGTTTTGACATGCTTCTCTAATTCTATAGTGTATGAACCTCTAATCCTATACACACACACAAAGAGGGATATCGACATGTAAGTGATCCAGGGATATCGACATGTAAGTGTGTGTGTGTGTGTGTGTGTGTGTGTGTGTGTGTGTGTGTGTGTGGACATCCAATCTTTGGCTTAAATGCAAAAAATACATACTATTGGAATAATTTTAGTCTTAAATTCATCACCTCTTACGTCTATTATCTTTAATAACCAATAGAGCATTATCAATTTTATAACTTGTAAAATTTACAAAAGTACCCACATCACCTCACTAATATATCAATTTTATGATTTTCATCTTCTTACTACTTTTTCTTCTTCAAATCAAAATAAATCTTCTTCATGTGTCCTTTTTTCCTTTTGATAAAAAATAAATTTTTTTATTTATTTATTTTAAGATTTACTCATGTCATGATCATATAAGATAATCATGTTTCATAGAAACTCTTTTTACTTGTAAAAAGACATTACTTGGTTTATCGCCTTCCTCAAGTTTAAAAATTATCTCCTTTGAAAGGAAAAAAATATATATATTACATCCAGATGAGCTGAGTTCGGATTAGGTGCAAATGATGTTTTTGTTTTTTTTTTTTATATAGTATTAGTAATATTGATTATAGTGTTGGTGTTATACTACAATGCCACAATACTATCATGAATACCATCGATCATACCTACCCTGTCTAGATGCAATATCTTATCCTTTGAAACAAATCTATATATATATATATACTAATAATATATATGGGGGCGCGCGCGCGTGTATTAGAAAGTGAATAAGTTATCCTTTTTGAACCGATTGGTCAAATTCGGTTTTAAAACCAATATTTAAAAGTAAATAAAATTGTCAACCTCACTTTTTTTTAATTAATTTTCCGCATGGACCTTGTGGACCGTTGATCTACTAGGATCATATTTGAACGCATATAAACTATAATTTAGAAATAGACGAAATTTTACGCATGCGGCATGCGCCAACCTTAAAAATCTCATTCTTGTGGGGAAGCAACGAGCATTTTATGCGGGAAGTCCGCAACACGGATGTTTTGGCCGACAGTTTTCCCTCCCGGGGCTGTTGTGCTCGAGCTTTCCACCGATGAATAAAATTTTACCACGTGTCCAACTCACGACTCGTTTCCCTCACGTACGGGCGGTCCCCGCAGTGCCAATATCGTTATTTATTCCAACTCCGGGGGTCTAGTATTAAAATTTCAACATAAAATCTCAATTATTTGGCTCTACAGGGAATTACCATTGCGAGCTTCTTCGCTGAAATTACTAAAATGTTGCCTTTATTGCTTTCATGGCGGGTATATAAACCAACGGACGCCGACGAAAAAACTGCTTTGAAAACAGGAAGAAGAAGCACGAGGGGGAGTCGAGGGAGAATCGAGTAGGAAGTAGAAACCCTGATTCCTCCATCTTAGGTCTTCCCCCACTCCATTGCTCCGAAGCCCTGCGATCGAAGATTTTCAGAGCTTATCCGAGCTCCGATCGCCGCCGGGCCGCTTCGATTGTCGGCGGGGGCGCCCAGCCGACATGGATCCGTATGGCGGTGATGGCCATCAGCCGGATCCCGACAGTGGACTCCAAGGTATGCTCCTCCGCACTGCCTATCTCTTGGACCCTTCTTTTTCCCCCTTTGTTCACTGGTCTGGTTTTGTGGAATGGTTCTTAGGGTTTATAGCTTAGCATTTGTTTGGAATTTGTTTGATTGACTGCAGCGATTTTCTGTGTTGATTTTGCATTGTTTTAGAGTCCATGTGGCGTTTGGAACTTGGTGGTGGCGGCAATCGTGGTGGCGGGTTACCAGAGAGACCGGGGAAGCGGGACTGCGCTTACTATTTGCGGACCGGAACTTGTGGGTATGGTGAGAGATGCCGCTACCATCACCCCCTTGATCGCGTCAGTACGGTGAGGATAGCCGAATTTTACAATTGTTCGCTTTCTTCTTAATGTGTCTTGAGATGATTTTGTTTGGAATTCTTTTGTTTAATCTAAGTAGATAATATTTGAAGAGTTTTTATGCTAAGTTGCTGGAAGTGACCCTGCATTTGTAGACGAATTTACGAAATTGTTTATTTTCAGCAGGTAGCCGGGCCTGCGAGGCTGGTAGCTGGAGAGTATCCGGAACGCTATGGCCAGCCTTTTTGTGAGGTATTGGGGCCCTTTGTATTTTGTTTGTTGCCGTTGGACAATGCGATACCTGGGAATTACATGCATGCTTATAAATTTTTGAGTTGAAAGTGTTTTCGTAGTTTTTTTATTTTACTGACGTTACTGTTCTGCTGAAAAGAGTGAAGAAATTTTCTACCTTTTGTCTGATTTTTCAGTACTTCTTGAAGACTGGGACTTGTAAGTTTGGCTCTTCTTGCAAATACCACCATCCTAGACAAGGAGATGGATCCGTTCAGCTGGTCTTATTGAACAGCTATGGATATCCACTACGCCCGGTTGGCTTCAAATTTTCAAAGATGTTTAATGAAAATGCTCAAGTTCTTAGATTATGTCTTGGTAATTTGCATTTAGTAAAACTGGGTGTACTTTTTTCTAATTGCTATGTTCTGATATGAGATGTAGGGTGAGGAAGAGTGCTCATACTTTATGAAGACGGGGAAATGCAAATTTGGCTTAACTTGTAAATTCCATCATCCACAAACTACTAGCGCCTCTATGCCCTCTCCTGCACCTGTGTTTTATCCAATGGTGCCAACTACGTCTATTGCTACACCACAACAGTACCCTGAGGTGGGAGTTTGGCAGGTTGGGAGGTCTTCTTCGGCATTGTCTGGTGCATACATGCCAAGTTCATATGGCCCCGTGTTGTTTTCACCTAGGGTTCTTCCAGTCCCTGGTTGGAATGCTTATCCGGTTTGTTCTTGGTGCTTTGCTTACTTCATGTGATATAAGTTGAAACCCTTAATTTATGTTTCTATTTTGTGTTGTCTATTTAATGAGGCAGACACCAATAAATGAGTCTGCTTCTTCTGGCGCTCAACAATCTACTCAAGTAGAACCACTTTATTGGCAACATTCTCAGTTGTCTTCCTCTGCATCAGCATACTCTGGTTCCTATCCTCTTGTAACTTCTTTAGTTGGGCCTTCAACTAATAATAATCAGATAGAGCAGAACCTTCCACAGAGACCTGGTCAACCTGAGTGTCAATTTTTCATGAGAACAGGGCAGTGTAAATTTGGGGCCGCATGTAGATATCATCATCCACCAAACTGGAGCATAACTGCAACAAATTGCTCACTGAATCCTCTAGGCCTTCCCCTTCGACCAGTAAGTCCATTCCTCTCTCTTCAAGATAATGAATGAATCATACTGATATCCAAATTTTTATTTTAGTTGTGTAATGGAGATATATTCATTTCTTTTCTTTATGAAATGTTCTTCTTCGTACATTTTTATAAGCTTTATAATTTACCTTGTTTTGATCGAGAAAACACTTTGTGATGTTATCAATTAAAATAATGATGTTGACATTGTGCCTTTATTTTATACACTATGAGAATTATGACAGAAAACTTTTATATTTCCCCAGTATAAATCTTGAACTTACAGAGTTCTAGCCTTCGTATTCTAGTAAAATTTTGAATATGGCAGTAGACTTTTCCTTTTGAAATTGTAGTACTTATCACATGGGAGAGGTTTTTAATTCATTGGTTTATGCTTTGTGTTTCTTTATCTTTGAAAAGTATGCTGTGATAGGTTGGATGCATTTGATACCTGCATTCTGCTTGGTTTTATGTATATAAAAATACCTTCTCTCCTTACGCAATAATAGCTTTTTTAAAAGAAATTGGTTGATGTAGAAGCAAACATATTTGTTCATCAGCATGCTTTTTAGATCTTTGATATTATTTTCATTTTTTGCGTGCTTTTATTTAAATAAAAATACCTTTTCTTGTTACACACTATTAACTTTTTTTAGAAGAAATTGGTTGAGGTAGAAGTAATCATATTTGTTTATCAGCAGTGTCTTTGTTGGATCATAAATTGTCATTTGTGAACACGCTCCGAGAGTTTGGGGATCGAGTGAAGGAGAAGAGAAGAGAAAGGGGGAGTATAGCTTGTCAGGGGTTGCTGAGAGGGTCGATGAAAGGTCTCTTTATTCGTATTTTTTCCTCTTACTTATAGAGATGTATTTTGTACAAATACAAAAAGCAGAGAATGTTTATGGAAACTGCTATTAATACAATGGATATTCTCATTAATCGTATGAATCTTATACCACATCTGCATTACAATTTGAATTTTAGCATGACTATAATCGGTTGTCCGACTTGCTTGAATTCAACCCACTGAAGCGACCTGTTGAGTGGCGACCGAGCGTTATATTGGTCGACCGAGGCGCCTGGTCGAATGTACATTTTGTCCGCCGCAGTAAAGGTTAGTCGATCGATCGGCCTTAATCAAGAATTCCTGTTTATGTCCCGGTCGGTTGAGACTGTCGGTGTGAAGTGCTCTTGAATCTCTTGACGCAATGTGTTGGTTGATTCCCGGTCGCGCAGTAGCATATGGTAGGATTTCTTGTTTGTCTGACTGTCATTTTGGCCATCCAAATGCTTTGAGATTTGTGTTGACAGTTGTGTATACATAGCAGTTCCCCGAATTTTTCTGCTCCTTGGAAGTGATAGCTATGATAAGGACCGAAAGATTATTAGTATTCAATGATACTAAAATCAAGAAAGTCAATTTAATAATCAACTTCCCTCAGATTTCGTGCCCAATTTACTCTGTAAATAAAGTCATAGGGTTGGCATTGCATCCGTTGTCATTAATTTTTCTTTGATCAACCGATTCGAATCATGGTCGACGATATGAGGAAACTCTATGTAGACCCACCCCGAGACTATGGCGAAGAGGGGCTACAGGCCTTCGGCTCCTGCAAAGAGAATCAAGGTCAGGTAGGAAAAGCGGTCACCAAACCTGCACCGGCCGATCAAGTCGGCTCATTTGGGGACCCTGAGTTCCTTGTCAGGAGACTGCGATTCCTGAGCCGGCTGTGGATCCTAGCTTTGGAGGCCAGTCGGCTTTTGTTTACTGAAGGCGTCGTTGGGGGCGCAGAAGCTCTAGAGGGAACAAAGATTGGTGTCCCCCTTAATTGCTACTACCTAAAGGTGAAGGCACCTCGCAACGAAGGTAGGGGGAAAATGTTTGGAGACCATTTCTTAATTGGATCGATTTATGAGTATGACAAAAACAAAATTCTTTTTTTGTGTATGGACATCATCGTTGTTTAACTGTTTCTTGACATTTTTCATATGCAGATACATTGTCTGAGTCAAAGGGTCATCAGTATGGCGTGCAGTCGAAAGATTCTGCGGAGTTCGTTACTTTTGTGGTTGGTTTGCATGTTGAGCTTACGGAAGCCCTGTCAACAGCCATTTCGAGAGGATACCACTAATTTGTTCCTTTGCCCGCCGTTGATATTGGTTAGAGGTGAACGGAGCATCGGGCTCCTCCCCTTGGAGCCATGGGACAACAGATAGGTGGGGTCGAGCCCTCAGCAGTGGGGGTTGGTTCATCAGAGGGATCGACTAGAGGCCTGGCACGACGGGAGGTCTCAGCCCCTCTGATGTTCCCAAGCTCGGTTGTGTGGACCCTGCAGGCGGAGGTTGATGCTTTGCCGGATGGTCTGACCGAGGTGTTGTGTGAGCTCGGAGCGCTTTAGGAGTCGATTAACCTGACCAAATTTCACCTCAAGGCCAACCGGATGGAACGACTTAGAATAGGAGGTCGATTGTCCTTCGAAGGTTGGCTCATAAAGGGTCATCCCCCCTAAAGCCTTGGAAGACCTGCTCATAAAACATTTTATTTTAGACTTGTAATAATGTTATTTAGAAATGAAAAGACATTTGAATAAATTTGAAAAAAAATGTTTGGTTTGTTACTCATTCTTGTGCGACGCTTCGTTTTTCGAGTCCGCCCTATAAATAGAGCGTTGGACCATTGTTTCTTACTTTACGCATTCCGATTATTGCATCTGAGCTTTTAGTTTTTTTTCTTTTCTCGTCTCGCCCTTTCAACCGCCTTCAATTTTCTTTAATAGCCTCGAAATACTCTCTCACAACCCTTCATTTTAAATGGAGAACGAATTGAAGGAGTTGCAGACGAGGTATGCTATGTAGGACAGTGTCACCTTTTGGAAGTTGTCGAGGTCGGTTCTGACGACGAAACTTTTGGGTAAGGATCTAATATTTTACCAAGACCAGTTCAAGTGCAGTCTCCAGTTGCCTCTGTGCATTGAGCTCTGGAGTGCCTTTAACACGTATGGGGTTATTCCGGCGCAAGTGATGACGAACTCCATGGCTACGATAAGGTTGTTTTTTTTCTATCAATGGGAGCGCATCTCGTGCAATTTCGATCTTTTAAAATATTTTTTTCTCGTTTAAGGTCAATAGGGAGGGTTTTGTCATGTTCTTGATGGGAAAGAGCTCCACTTTATAGGGGTGGAGAGAAAAATAAATGTATGGAAGAAGTAGTTCTTGGTTGGTTCTTACTTTGTTAATTGGGAGATTCGACACAAGCCAGCAAGATGTTCGGTGTCCAAGCTGAAGTCTCTCCCCATAGAGCATGGATGTCATCAGGGAGATGTTGACCAACGGTCATATGTCAATCCTGCAATATATTGCAGAGGCGGCGGTTACTCATGCGTTAACGGGTGAGATGATGGAAGCGTTGTGTCTTGATTTGGATATTATTGAGGGTGTTTAAGCGAGGAAGGTGAAGGAAAAGTTGGCCACTAAGCGTCAGAAGCAGAAGCGTCCCTCGAAGTCACGTAATCTTGTAGGAGACGAATATCTGCTCCCTTACAATGTAGCTGCAAAATACATTGTCTACGTGTCTGCTCATAGTGTTTTTATTCAGTAACAGGTTACTGGCAAGTTCACTGCTATCTCTCGAAAACATTATTCTCGCTTTGTTAATGTAGGGGAAGGTGATGAGAGAGAGCCCGTTTCCAAAGGGACAAAGCCATGACCGTAGCTCCCTCTTCGTCTGCTGCAAACTTGCAAGTTGGTACGTCGCCGACTATTGTTGTTCAGCTAGATCCTCAAGTTGGTGGTTCTTCCTTTGTTTCTCTGACTAAGAGGGACAAAGCAAGTCAAGTTGTCCCTTCTTCTTCATCTAGTTCTTCCTAGGGGAAGCCGTTTTCATCCTCCAAGAATGAGCCTCCGCACTTGCGTGAGGGAGCAACGGTACGTTGTCGGGGAAAGCAGCTGATGGAGGAAGCAGATGCTTCACCACCCCTCACATGAAAAGAAAGAGGGGGTCCGTGTGGGAGCTTGTGCCCGAGAGTCTGGATGGATATGGGAGGATGCCAACAAGCGGTACTGATCATTTGATTTGTACCCGCAGACGGATGCCAATAGAGAATTGCCTTTGGCGTTCCTGAATCTACTGTGGTTGGGGGGGGGGGGGGGGGGGCTTCAAACACCAAGAGCTTTTCCAGAACGTGGACCTGCGGTAGTTAATGGTAGCGCAAAGCACCCATTTCCTTGGGATAGCCCTACTCGAGGTGGAGCAGTCGCTGGAGGAAACTCAGAAGAAGGAAGCTTCACTGGAGGTGAATCTGAGAAGGGCTCGCGATGACCAATATCTTTTGAAGCTCAAGTTTGACGAGTCTGTGAGGACCAACAAAGAATCCCTTGGGACTATGGCGGCTCTGGAGAAGGAAAACACTAAGATGAAAGAGAAGGTCACTTCGTTGGTCTCCAGAGAGCAATATGATGATGGTCGGGCGGAGTACTCTAAAATTGGGGTGGACTGTGTCATTCAACAATCCATCCGTCGTGGCTTGGTCGACCCTAAGTGTTCCAACCAGAGGGAGTTTTCAACTTTAACCCGCGATGAGCCGACAGAGAGTCCCGAGGAGGAGGATAGTTCGGGAAGAGAGGAAGATTCGTACACCCGATAAGACCCTCTGCATAAATGAAGTCTTCTCCTCGCCTTTAAGAAGCTGTTAGCATCATGCAAAAATACTTGTAATATTTTCTTTACATTAATTTTTTTTTGTCTTTTTACATCTATTTTTGTTATTTTTGGTTTGTGAAGTTTTTTATTTACCTGGGACATCGACCCCTTTAGAGAGACTTGCTCTCGGGTAGGCCATGAATTCTGAGAAACTGATTTAAATTGAAGTGCCTAAGTTGGTTAACACTTATTTCACTTGTGTGCGGGCACCATGTCGCCTTTTAAGTGGATATCAACCCTGATTCACCTTTTCTCCCGACTCAGATCTTCTTGTTAGTTAAGAGGGTGATGACCATGGTTTTTGG